TCAATGATCTCAATGATCGCATCAATGATCTCAATGATCGCATCAATGATCCTGTTTGATTGATTAGCTGCTGAAGACGAGACATCAGTAATTATTTACATCAAACTCACGTCATCGCTTTCAATTTCTTCGTCATATTTGTATCAATTTAAATAACGTTTATTTTCTTAATGTCATCTTTAATCTACATTATTTATATTGATTGATCAGCTGTGATGTGAAACAAAATGTTTAATCTGAAGATTATAAAATACATTTCTATGAATCGTGTGTTTGATGACGTCATCATCTTGATTGACAGGAGAACACCACGTGTCCCATCTGCAGAGCAAACCTGGCTGACCCCGCCCCCTCTCACCTCTGACCTCCTGAGAGCTACTTCCTGCTTCATGAAGGACGACTCGTCTGTTTTTACTTTTTTTTATTTGATCGTGTTTTGTTTTTCTGTCCTTCGAAAAAAAACAATAAAACCTTTAAATCTGCAGTTTGAATGATTTTAAAATAAACTTTAGTGTCTTTGAGTCGATCGTCTCATTGATCAGCCGTTAGACGTGTTTGTTCCTCGTTCCTCATAGACGTGTGTTCGTGTGTTTATTCCTCGTAGTAGCGTTTCTTCATCGCTCGGTACTTCCTCAGGTAGTACAGCGCCTCCAGCTCTCTGCACACGTACTCTCCTCGACCAATCAGCTCGCTGATCTGCTGCGGGTCGGCGACGCCTTTATTCTTAAGGAACGACGCTCTGAGACGGTCCCTGAAGTAATCGCCTCCTTTAGGATACTCACGGCCCAGGTGGAGGAGCTGAGGAGGGAGGAGGTGAAGGAGGAGATCAGTTAAGTTTATGATCTTTAGTTTATTGTATTAACCCTGAATTATTCACATTGTCATCTGTTTATTGACAAAGAAAAGCAGCAATTATTCAAATGTGAGACGCTGAAATCAGCTTTTATATTTCACAAAATGCTTAAAAAATAAAGTACCTCAAATGTGTACTTAAGTATTGTATTATGTACTTAGTTACTTTCCTCTCCTGTATTCTCAGGTTCAGGTCAGTTAATGACATGTTTGCTTCAGCTGATTTGATCATAATGTTTTTATGAATAAATAAGTTAAATATTTACTTCAGATCAAACTTTAAAATCAGGTATTTTTATCCACATTTAAAACAATCAGTTTAAAATTAATTTTAAATATTTAAGAACTTAAAGTTCTCACAGAGCGAATCTGAGGAATCAAACGTAAATATATATATATATACAATATATATAGTATATATAATATATATATATCAGAATAAATAAACTCAGACTCACGTTTTTATAGAGTCGAAACACTTCGACCCTCAAAGGATTCGCCATCGTTCAGATCTGAAAAACACAAAGACATTAATATTTTAATATTATTATTAATATATGTGTTCATATTGTTAAAATATTAATACGTATTAATATATTAATACTATATTAATACAGGAAATGATTATATATATTATGTGTTAACATTACATATAATATTAACACATATATTAATATATTTATAATAAAATTATTATATTAATATTTTCTGTATTGTAATAATATATGTTAATATAATAATATGAACACATATATTATAGTAATATTATATTAATACAATATTAATATATATTAATATTATTTTCTGTATTATAATAATATAATGTGTGTTAATATAATAATATTAACACTTATTATTTTCAGAGTAAAGTTCCTTCTCACCGGGCGTAGTGACGTCAGCAGGGAGCTCAAAGATCAGAGTACAGTTTTTTTTTATAACAGTTAGCTTCTGTAGCTAACGACACGTTAGCTTACATGAACCGGCAACAAGTCGCTCTTTTCTGTCAGTGGTTGTTTAAGAAGCTCCGGTTAACGTTAAACTCTGGTTTTATATTTAAACTTTAGTCCAGAAACACTGACGTTCAGTCACGAGCTGCGGACGTGGAAACCATCCGAAACGTAAACAACCAAAGAGCAACACACGTAGAGATAGTAATCATCCAGCACAGACAGAAACGGGTCCGACGATTTCGGGCATGCGCACACTTGCATAATCAGAAGTTCGTAGATTTAACTTCTCACAGAATTTGTGCTTTGTCCTTCACGGATATTTAGCTTCAAACATGACTGTACCATAGTGTTTCTATACTATGGCATTAGTGGGTTTACAGTGTGATATTAGTACTTTTATTCTCAGTAAGGATTTGAGTACTTCCTCCATGTCTGTTTACTTGTAAAACAAAATTCTGTACAATAAAGTTACTACAAAAAAAAATAAAAGAGCTTATACTTTTTTGTCCCTCTCGGGTTTCCGTAGTGGCGGTTTCTTCTTCTGTAGCAGGGTTAAACAGCTCCACTTACTTGTCAGCTATAAATAAACCTCTCACGGTAAATATGACACGTTTTTATAGAACACACTCAAACGCTAATGTTTTCTGATGACTTTCCGTTAGTTTCGTGTTGTTTTACCGGGTTTTTACGATTGTTCGGTAACTTTAGGACCCGTATATAGCTAATGTTGTTGCTAACTGTTAGCTAACTGTTGTTTATACTTATTAATGTTGCCTTATTCGCTATTATTACGTCTTTTTTAACAGTTTAACTGCAGTGGAAGAAGTTTTCAGATAATTTACTGCAGTGAAAGTACTAATACCACACAATGAAAGTACCAATACCACACAATGAAAGTACTTATACCACACAATGAAAGTACTTATACCACACAATGAATGTACTTATACCACACAATGAATGTACTAATACCACACAATGAAAGTACTTATACCACACAATGAATGTACTAATACCACACAATGAAAGTACTTATACCACACAATGAAAGTACCAATACCACACAATGAAAGTATAGAAATACTTTGTTCCAAGTAAAAGTTGTGCATTGAAAACCTGACTGAAGTACAAGTACATAACTGTAGTTAGACTAACTAAAGTATTGATGTTTTCCTCTTCTATCTGATGTTTCTGCATTAATGTGTAAGTTTAATGTTAACTCATTTATATCCTGTTTACTTGAATATACATCAATGCATCATAATCTATAAGATCATCATACTTTTACAATTCATTGACCAATTGTTGAGTTTATTTAATGTCAGAATTATGTCATAATCACAAGTCCCAAAAAGAGACCAAAGTGACGTCTTGAAATAACTTGTTTTGTCTGAGTTATATATATATATATATATATATGTATATATACATATATGTGTATATATATATATATGTATATATACATATATATATATATACATATATGTACATATATATATACATACATACAATAATGTTCTGGCACATAACTAGACATTTACCACAGTCAAGTCCGTTCACTCAGTCACTGACTGCAGTTGTCCATTTGTTTGTTAACAGGGAGAACAAAAGGACCAGCTTTTGTTCACATGGCTCCCGGCATCCACAGTCCAACAATAAATACATACAATAAACTTGTGTTCTCCTTGACTCTTTCATCACACCCCATCTCACACACTATCCGTGGTGTAAGTAGCGGCGGTGCGTCGTTACACATGCATTGGAAATCGTACAAAGACGAGAAGGGCACTCGGAGAGTGCAGACCTCCTCCTAGGCCAATCAGTGATAAATAATGCATGGCCGCTTCGTTATTCAGATCTGCTCCAAATTTTATTGGGTTCTTCCTTAGGGGTGGGGGCGTGGCAGACCTGCAAAGACAAACAGAGCTCTCTTCTAGAAAAGAGGCATCGTTAAGTCAGGGGGCGTAACACCATGCCACACGCTTCCAACACGGGTCATGAGAGTCGGGCCAGTAGTTTTTCCGTAACCCTGCTGACAAACCGACCAACAAACTGAAAGGAAAACATAACCTCCTCGGTGGGAGCAATCATCATCATCAACTTGCCTTAGGTTACTTCTTCTCCCTGTGAAACCTCCTAGTCATTTCTGAAATAGGCATCATTTCCTATATAAAGCAAAAGGTCTTTTTGATTTACCATTAGAGATGTACCGTCCGCAAAAATTGGTAGAGGTGCAGAGGTTGTAACCATGGCAACAGCACAGCGTGTCACTTCCTCCAGAGGAGGGAAGAGATTAGCAGAGTCTGCGCCTGTGGCGCTGCCAGCCTCTGTTAAACCACATGCCGGCAGAAAGATGGGTACATCTTCATTGTCATTGATATTGCTGGCCCGGTTGTAAGTCTCGCTCACCAAGATAACCGTTCCAGTCACCGCTGAGGTTCTGAAGAAGCTGATGTAATCATGAGAAAGGTGAGAGGCATGGTGAGACACGTTGGGAGGAGGCATTCACATAGCACTGATCTCATTTAAGTGCTTTAGGTTGGATTAAGAGAATTTGTTACTCTGACCTGAGTGGGTGCTGGGATAATGAGTTCGTTTAAACCGCAGTTCTAAAAACACACTGATGTCACCATGAGGTAATGGTGAGGCAATGATTAAAGTTATTCTGGAGTTGTTTTAAAAAACCTAGAGACTGCAGTTTTAGATTTTTCTGATATTTTCATTCAGCTTTCCAAACACTTCAATCTGCATTTGGAACTGAGCTCCACTTAATTGTCAGAGCGTTACTATTTAAAAATGTAACTGACCCAATTTAGAACTACTGTGATATTAAAATCAGGTTGCTCTGTCTCATCTTAGTGCACCTGATGGCATTTGCAAGATTCCAACGCACCCAAAGAAAAACAATCGCTTGACACAGCTGTCAATCACTGCTCACGAAACTCTGATCAAACTGAGTGTAAAATGAGAAAAGTTTGGTTCTGTCTCAACTGTTTTCGAACAAACTCATTTTACAGCTAAAAAGTACACTAACATTTGAGTCGAGAAATAGGAAATACATCCATCTTGATTCATATTTGATCAGCGCTGTCTATTTATTATGTCTCAAGTACTACTGTCAGGATAGAGTGACAGCTTGAGCACATGACAGGAAGTGACTTTTATTAATGTTAACTGTCGCTGTAAGTCACACAAAAATATCTTATTTTGATCTAAATCAAAAGATTATTTTTAAAATCACAAAAACATTTTTAGAATCAATGACATCCTTTTTCAAATGCCGTTCACATATCTAAATATACATTGGTGCCAATGATGCAGGCATTACATATATATACACACACACACATATATACAGTGGGTACGGAAAGTATTCAGACCCCTTTAAATTTTTCACTCTGTTTCATTGCAGCCATTTGCTAAAATCAAAAAAGTTCATTTTATTTCTCATTAATGGACACTCAGCACCCCATCTTGACAGAAAAAAACAGAAATGTAGAAATTTTTGCAAATTTATTAAAAAAGAAGAACTGAAATATCACATGGTCATAAGTATTCAGACCCTTTGCTGTGACACTCATATTTAACTCACATGCTGTCAATTTCTTCTGATCCTCCTTGAGATGGTTCTACTCCTTCATTGGAGTC